GGGGGTGAGGGCCCTTCCTCTCCCCAATCCTTAATACTGATGGTCCACGTCAACCAGTCCGTGAAACCCCGTAAAAAAATCCGTTGATGTAGCATTACCGGACAAATACATGGCAGCTGTCGGATGCTCCACCCCCGTATGAATATTAAATTCAAAAGAATACCAGGCAACTTAAAAAAATCTGGAATTCTGGGATATCAAACCTAGGTGTCAAATTTACTTCCCTACTGAGTTTCGTTGTATACATGGCGAAGAAAATACATTCTGAACTAAGATAGAAATTTCTTAAAACGCAAAGAAAATACAATCCGGCCTACGATCTATAAAAAAAAATCTGTGTGTAGGAATTTTGACTTTTTTACCGAGAATACCACAGATTTCATTTCTTTATAAAACTTCACAAGGGAGTAGATTGGGCATCCAGGTTTGATGTCCCAAAATTCCTGCCTTTTTTTATATATCCTGTTAATTTTTTGAATGTAATGTTCATATAGGGGTGTGGAGCACCAGAGAGCTCCAAATCCTCGTCCCTAGTATAATATGATTCATGACGAATAATATGAGACACGATGACGTACAAAAGCATGATGTTTTTCCTTATTTATGAATTTTTTATGTGTTATTTTTCCTTTCTCCTTTCTCTTCTATATCGTCAATTAGGTTATGTGTATGATACATAGTGCACATCTGCAACCAGAAGAAAGGCCAACTTGCAGCATATTCAAACCTGGCCGACAGCTAACAAACTGATAGTACACAGATGCAGGAGTTGTGGACACGGGTATGCCTGATCCTAGGGAGCGTTGGATCAATTATATGCACAAAAGGTCAACTAAATTTTGTGATGCTAGCAAATTAATTTAAAGTACAGCAGAGAGAACTTGTGCTAGTTGTAGGTATGGTGCTCAACAGTTAACCCATCACTGCTCAATTGTGAAGCTATGATTTAGCTGATACGAAAATTGTCCACTATTTTCAAGAATAACCTCCCTCATTTAACCCTCTACCAGATTCAACTTCTGGACTACTATTTTTTGATATCGTGGCATGTAATATACGAGAATAGGTAATAAGGTTGTATATACATGAACCAGCAACGCTTGCACGAGTTCCATGCTGAGATGAGAGAAAAATCATATTTGTTTTCTCACCTCCTATTCGACAAGGTACATACACTGTGTTGAAGTAGTTGTATGTAGAGTTTGTTGTATGATGACATGATTATTTTTACCAACCTACTAACTTAGTTGTTGTCTAGATAACTAGCATATGGAACAAGTTTTAGCAAACTCATTCTAAAGAGCACTTTTAGGATAACTTGTTTTAAGTGGTTGTTTTCTTCAAACTGGTTTGTGTTAGAAAAAATGGGCTTGGCCCATTAAAAAATTCTGAGATCTCAAATGAGCCCATGAGAAAAAAGGCAAGTGGTGGTGTGGTGCTAAAATTTAGTCCCACATTGTTAGTTGAGGAAGTGTTCGACCTCTTTATATAGTGGGTTCTCTACATCACAGTAAATGAGGTGTGATGAAGAGGAAAAGAAGACCACACGCGCGCTCACTTGCCTGGCCTGGGCCATGCTTGCGTGCAACATGTGCGTGAATGGTCTGCCGAAATCCGGTGTGTTGCCTTGCAGGGATGCGGCTTCCTTTTTCTGTTTTATTTTTTGGTACACTAGTAGAAAACAGGGCTTTGGTCCAGGCCGGGTCAGCCCATTAGTCCCAGTTCAGTCCAGAACCGGGATCAATGGGGGCATTGGACCCGGTTCGTGAGACCAGGGGGCCGGCCGGGCCACGTGGGCCATTGGTCCCGGTTCATCTGGACATTTGGTCCCGGTTGGTGGGACAAACCGGGACCAATGGGCCTCGCTCCTGGCCCACCACCATTGGTCCCGGTTGGTGGCTTGAACCGGGGCCAAAGGCTCCCCTTTAGTCCCGGTTCATGCCACCAACCGGAACCAATGAGGTGCCTATATATACCCCATCGCGTAAGAGCAGAGCACACTGCTCTGATTTTTCTGGCCGAGGGGGAGAGGTTGGTGGTGCTCTAGCTCACCTCCTATGCACACAAGGTGTTCGATGGAATGTCCGAGCCACACTACTTAAGCTTTCTCCTCTCCAAGCTCGACCTCCAAGCTCCATTTTCCTCAATATTTGTCTAGGTTTAGTGGTCCGTCACGCCCCGTCCCCGTCTTCACCTCCGTCGATCACCCGCGCCGAGCTCATCGCCGGCACCACCGTGGTGAGCCTCTTGTTCTTATCTTCTTTCTGAAAGGAAAAATATTGTCACTTGTATGTTTACATGATACTTGTATTATTTTCGTACTTTTATTATTGCATCTTATATAGTGCGATGGTTTTGGTATCCGCCCCCGTCGGCCCTCGTCCTGTCTATGATTCGGATGTGGTATATATATATTATCTTTATAACTATTGGTTCATTTATTGTTTATGAAAATTATGCCGACCAACGTGACATAGATTTTATTTATGTAGGGTGTATGTGAATCGGAAATGCCAACCGACCCTATTGTCGAGAGGTTAAATTTAGTTGAAGAAGAAAACAATTTGTTGAAGGAAAAAATAAAAAAAATTGAGGAGGAGAAGATGATATGTGAGTTGCATGTTGCGGATGTCGTCGATGATCACAAGATCAAGATGGATGCAATGCGCTTGAAGATTAGAAAGATTAGAAAATATGCCATTCATACCGAGGCTTGGTATCATTATTCCGTTGGATCAATTGTTACCTTGGTTGCGATTATGATCGCATTTGTTTTCGCATTGAAATGTTTTACATAGTTTCAATGTATGGTTTAATTAATTAGATGCTCTGGAGAACTATATGTTGTTAGATGAGAACTATGTATGCACTTTGGTTTTAATGTGATGATGAACTTCTATTAATTTGGACACTTAATTATATATAATGCACGCAGATGAACCGACAATGGATGTATGGTGACAGACACACCTCCGAGTACATTAAGGGCGTGCATGAGTTTCTCGATGCGGCTGAGGCAAACAAGCAGAATGGTTTTATGTGTTGTCCATGCACTGAATGTGGGAATACGAGGTCTTACTCTAACCGGAAAATCCTTCACTCCCACCTGCTTTACAAGGGTTTCGTGCCACACTATAATGTTTGGACGAGGCACGGAGAAATAGGGGTTATGATGGAAGACGGCGAAGAAGAAGAGTACGATGACAACTATGTGCCCCCTGAATACGGTGATGCTGCAACGAGGGGAGCTGGTGAAGATGAAGAGGAACCAGACGATGTGCCCAATGATGCTGCAACGGGTGAAGCTGCTGAAGATCAAGAGGAACCAGACGATGTGCCCGATGATGATGATCTCCACCGGGTCATTGTCGATGCAAGGATGCAATGCAAAAGTCAAAAGGAGAAGCTGAAGTTCGATCGCATGTTAGAGGATCACAAAAAAGGGTTGTACCCCAATTGCGAAGATGGCAACACAAAGCTCGGTATCGTACTGGAATTGCTGCAGTGGAAGGCAGAGAATGCTATGGCTGACAAAGGATTTGAGAAGCTACTGAAAATATTGAAGAAGCTTCCAAAGGATAACGAATTGCCCGACAGTACATACGCAGCAAAGAAGGTCGTATGCCCTCTAGGATTGGAGGTGGAGAAGATACATCCATGCCCTAATGACTGCATCCTCTACCGCGGTGCATACAAGGATCTGAACGCATGCCCGGTATGCGGTGCATTGCGGTATAAGATCAGACAAGATGACCCTGGTGATGTTGACGGCGAGCCCCCCAGGAAGAGGGTTCCTGCGAAGGTGATGTGGTATGCTCCTATAATACCACGGTTGAATCGTCTATTCAGAAATGAAGAGCATGCCAAGTTGATGCGATGATACAGTGAGGACCGGAAGAAAGACGGGAAGTTGAGAGCACCCGCTGACGGGTCGCAGTGGAGAAAAATCGAGAGAAAGTACTGGGATGAGTTTGCAAAGGACCCAACGAATG